CACACACACACACACACACACACACACACACACACACACACACACACACACACACACACACACACACACACACATATATATATATATATATATATAGACACAAGTATTATGTATAATGCTATTTTAATGAATCATTAACTTGTATTATTATTTGAACTTACAAGATTTTATCAATATAAAAATAACTATGGAAATTTCAAACTAAAGTAACAAATATTAAACACAATTTTAGATTTTTTAGTAAATTAAGTATAGAGAAATACCAGTTTTTGTGAAGTGTTGTAAAATTGAACAAGACAAATCAGATATGATATAGGGTTAAGATGTAGTATTCAAAATTACTTTTGTGTAATTTTATGGCTTTTGCAAAATATATTTAGCTACTAGTTTTTTCAGTTTAAAAATAAATTTTAAAATTAAAGATAAAGAAAACAAATCTAAAAGAGCATATTCATGCAATACAAGCATTAATCTTATGGTGGATTTCTTTACAATTAGGACATTTAGAAAACTACTTTTTATATTATGTATTTGAACTAAAGTTGACAATTTTTTACCTTGTAGACATGGGTACAGCAGGAGATGAAGTTTGTAGAATAAAGTGTAATGTATTCATCAGAAAAAATGCCACAGTGCTGACCAGAACAGAACTACACACGGTATGTGATGTAATGTTATAAACCATGTAAAATGTGTAATATTAGCTCCTGTTCAAAGCAAGCTACTTACACAGAAGAGAAATAAATCTAGTAATTAGTATATGTAATTAAATACACTTTTATGTTCTTACTTGCAAAGATTAGGATGTATTGTTTTGTCAGTTGGGTACTCTTGCTGTTAGCAATACTTTTGGGCATAATTCCAGTATTTCATGAGCTTAGATTTAGGTTAATCCTAAGTTCATGTATTATGCTAAAAATGCAAAATAATTTTATGATAATAATAAATATATTAAACATTCTAACCAATACTGTTAATGAATGTTATGTAAAGAAACAACATAGAATATCTTATTCTATTTCCATAGAAAACCTGTCAAAAAATTTATTACATTTTCTATATGTACAAACAAGATAAAACCAACAGTTAATTGCATTATTATTATTATTTTGTAGATAATTTGAATGGAGAGATCAGACAGAAGTTTTCAAAACTTTATTGCCATTTTGTTCTTGTAAAACAACAACAACAAGATCACTGAACTGGAAAGGGTTGATTGGCTTTGGCAATGTAGCTTCGTGTCTTAGATAAATTAATATAACACCTTTTATTGTTTGGCTTTTGTACATGTAGTTTAGGAAAAACTTCTCTTTGTGAAGATATAAAGTAATAATTAATAATAAACAACAAATTAAATGAATAACAGAATCATAAAATAAATAGCAATAATATGGTGAGTTAGTTAAAATATAACCAACTTAAATATAATGAAAAAAAAATAACTAAACATACTATGAAGTCTGTTTAATACAACAAATACAATTTCAGCTAAACCCCTGTTATTTTACAACAGAGTGAACAGCCAAAAGTAATAAAATTAAATTCTAAGCAAGATATTATTCTAGAAAGCCCATAATAGTGATAATAAGGAAGTAAAAGCAATGGTGAATATGACAGTTACAGTAATTATAAAAACTAATGTAACTTGACATGAAGTAGTATTATACCTTGTATAGAACAATTTTACAGCTTGTATTAACCCTTTTGCCACAAGTATGTCAAAATGTGTATGTCATGACTTTTTAGTTATGTTAAAAATTTAATTAAATCATTTGTTTATGCTATACCAATTAGTATAGCATTAAATTGTACCTAATAATCCATATTATAATAGCACAAGTTTTAAGTTCTTGATTTTATAAGGCAGTATTACAAATAAATCCCGAATTTCCCCTAGTGTGAGAAATGTGCTTTTTTTATTTAGAGTTTTCCTCTTGATTCACCACCCTTCCAATAAGTATGAAATTTAATGTAAGTTACACTATGATATTGTCATTGCTCAGACAAATCATAGTTTTTATAGCCTTCAATCTTGTTTGGTTACAGAGCCATCAGATCCCTCTTTCCACACACCCACCTGTCACATCCTCTTTCAGTATTTGTTAATAGTTATCTTAAGTTTAATGATATTTATTATAACTAATAAAAAGCCAAGGATTTCATCTATCAAATTATGTATTATATTACGTTTTGTGGACACAGAATTTCAGTTTCTCTTTTAGTACTAGCTTCATTCCCATTGACGAGCATAGCTAAATATTTAACAGCTCTTGTTGCATAGTTATAAAGCTAGAAAAATTGGGATAGTTATGGGATATTTTTTTGCAGGTGATTATTCTGTGTTCTTTGGTGAATTATTTAATTAAATAAAAATAATTTGGTACATTACTACCATTAGTATAAAAGAGTAGGGTTAAGTGTCATCGACAGTCGACAGCAAAAAATAGTCCTGGATAAGTACCTTACTTCTTGCTCTTCTTGTGTATTCTTTCTTTATTATTATAATAGTAACCAACATATAATAATAAGAATCTTCTTGGGTTAGTTAAAGTTATATTAGGTAAAATAAATAATAATAATAATATAATAAAAATGTTTCATGAGGCACACACGAGTAGCTCGTGGGTAATGTAATTCAGTAGCATGACATGAGCTCCATGTTCCTCAAGTAGTTGGACACAGTTCAAAGGACAATAAAGTAAAGTATAAATAGATGTATAAAGCTACTTAGGATAAACAAATGTAGTCTGATGTTATAATTTGAAGTCATTCTAGAAAGAAAATAAGGGTAATTTAGATTTATTTAATTGTTTTTTGTTTTGTTTTTTTGTTATGAGGTCGGTCAAATTGACCTACCTTGTATAGTTAGTTTAGATAAAATATACAGGTTTACTGAAAATAAATGTTTGAAATGTATTTAGGAGGTTTTAGATATTATGCAAATGAAATGTTAGGTTTTTAGATGAAGAAATATATTTTTAATTTTAACATAAAAATCATTTTGCACTCAGACTAGTCACAAAAAAAGACTATATTCAAGGGCAAATCTGATTTTTTTTTACATCTGAAAGACTTGTGATGTTTACTAAATGTTTGCCAAATTTTGTGAAGATATACATACTATATTAAAAGTTAGTAATATCAAAACTATAATGCCTTTAAATGAGTACATGTGAGTGGTCACATACGCAAATAAACTTGGCGTTAAAGTGTAGTTAGTAAATCAAATTTTAACAATATACAAGTTTTAAGCTCTTAATTTTTTAAGGAAATGTTTAAAAAATTCTCAATCTCACCTAGTATGCAAATTGTGACATTTGCTCTCTAGTTCTTCCCTCTTCTCTAATTGATTTACCACCATGCCGAGAATACATACTTTAGTAAATCTAATATAGATATTACTCAGGCAAAGCATAATTTTTATAGCCTTTGATCTTATTTGTTTATGGAGCTATAAACTAGAAAATCAGACCCGCTTGCCACATTCTCTATCTCACAAGTTGCTAGTAGTTCACTCTGATGTTTTATACTGTATTATTTATAACCAAGAGAAAGTCAATGCTTTAATCTATTAAATGACATATTATATTGTTTTCTATACAAAGAATTGTCTATTTCACTTCCAGTTCAAACTTCATTCCCATGGGAAACACATGAACAAGATTAGCTGAACGTTTAATGGCTTTTATCTCATAGTTAAAAAGCCAGAAAAATTATGATAGTTATAGGACATTGTTTGCTTTTTGCATGTTGTTATTCTGGTTCCTAGGTGAATTATTTAGTGTACTTAGCAACATTAGCATAAAAAATTAAGCTTAAACAAAAGAGGTCAAAGTTAAGTACTATATTTCTTGATTTTCAAGTATATTCTTTATTTATTATTACTAAAGTAACTAAAATGTAAGAATTAGACAGTTGCCTTACATTAGGTAAGATAATGAAACTAACTAATACAAATTCTTCATGGGTTATGCCCACAAGAAACTTTTTACATCATTCAACGTGATAACTTGAGCTATGCATTTACTGAGTGATTTACAATTTGTGTGGTGGGATTATTAGTGAGATATGGTTCAAATGATAATAAACCAATAAAATTATGCATAAACAGATGTATACTGTTATGAGCTGTAAGCTATTTGGGATAAACAGTTGTAGTTTCTTCCTGTTAGTCTGTAGGCATGCTAGAAAAAAAAAGAGTAAATTAAATTTATTTCATATTTTTATGGTAATAAGGTCAGTCAAATCAAACAAGTTCATATAGTTAGGGTAGAGAAAGTAACAGATCAAATATAAAGTTTTATTGGAAAAAAATGTTCAATATTTAGTTAGGATGTTTTAGAGGTTGTGCAAATAAAATTTGAAAATTATCAGATGAAGAAAAGTATTGTTACTCTTAACATGAAAATCACTTTGCACTCGGAGCAGTCAACACTTTGTCTTCATATATTCGTGAACAAATGTTTAGTAAAAATAATTAATTAAAAAATTAGATTTTTGTGTATTAATAAAGATTTGTAATGTTTACTGAAACTTTGGTAAGTTTCATGAAAATATACAAAGCATATTAAAAGTTACGTTTACTTTGTGGTTACAACATCTGTCGCATCAACTGACCCTGTGTGGAAAGAGTTAATGCTCTGTTGAATTGTAGTGTTTGTATGTTCTATCAATGCTCTAAAATTTTTCAAGACTATCTTAAACCTCTGTGTGCAGATGGGGGAGTTAGTGTACATGTCTCAACCTTGTATAGAATGCTGTTCAACATGGTATTATGCATTCAGTGTCAGAGTTGACATTGCTGATTTCACAACAGTTTGTGGTAAAGGAGAGAAAATACCAGATAGAATATACAGGAATACTGCAAAATCTTTTAGATGTGCATTTAAGAGATTATGCAAATGTACAATAGATAAAAGTATTTTCATTCTTCACATTTGCATTCCAAATTACTCATTAAAATCTCAATCAGATTAACTTTGGCATTTCACAGAAACATTTTTAGTACAAAAATTTCTTTAGTAACACATCTGATTTTTTGTGTATGATATACTTGTACTGACCAAAAGCTTGCCTCATTTCATGATAATACACTTTGTACCTTTGGATAGTCAACATTGCTTCTACAATACAGGGTCAGTCCATTCAGTTAATACATAAAATATTTGTCTTTTAAGAGAAGCACTGTAAATGAATGTTTGTTTTTTTATATTGAAGTATGCATTTTGTTTTAAGATTTCAAGATTTGACAATGTGAAAAGATGTAGTGAAAAACAAAATACTAATTAACTTTGGGATAAAAATCAAATGGATATAGCCTTTTTAAAATACCATATACTGAAAAAATGGGTTGTATTGTTTCTAACTGCTGTATTACTACCTGTAATAGTGAAATATGGTTTTATGGTATAATCATATAAATGAGTTTTACAATTACCATACATTTTTTTTGTTTTCTGAATTGAATATTCATTGTATATTGTCAGAAAAAAATGGTTTAAGCTAACTAAAAAGTGTACAGGGGTTATTAGTTTAATACATATAATATGTATGCTTAGAAAGTAAAACAAATTATATTGTTCTGGCAATTTTAGTTTTAAAAAAATCAAAACCAATGTTAATAATACAGGCTGGCCACAAACCTGGGATATTTACAAATTATCCAAAATCCTGGAAAAGTTGTAAAACAAATTCTGTGTTCCTCTGACCTGGGAAACTGCATATGTATGCAAACCATGCAACTTAACTATGCCAGTTAGTAATGTATTTTAATCTTGGTCAGTCAATCTTATTTTAAGTGGTGATAATTTTCTAATTCATTATATTTGATGTTAAATTTAAACAAATATTCTTGTATGAATAGAAATGCAGTGTTTTATTGTCTACCATCAAGTTGCAATGTGTTACCATATTTATAAGTGTTATAATTGGATTGTAATTTAAATGGGTAATAATTGTAAGGAATAGTTGAAATATTAAAGTGTTATACATGTGCATCTGCAGGCCTGAAAAGTATAATTTTGCTTTGAAACATTTCTTTGGAAAGAATGATCACACCTTGTAAAATGATTTTTATTATAGGCTACACCACAAAGTTTAATACTTAAATGGATATTTTGAGAGCAACTTACTTGATAAGTTATAGGACCACTGTCTATGAAATAACTTTCAAGCTCCAAAACTTATGAAGATTTGAAAAACTTATGAAGATTTGACTTTGGAATCTTAAAGTTTGAAATTGAAAAGTATTAAAATGCATGTAAATACTTATGAAATTTCCTTCTGCAGGTTGCTGTTGAGCGAGGAATGAGTTGGGAGGCAGCATCAAATTTGTGGAATGAACTTGAAGGAGAAGATGAAGGTTTCTACATTAGTCGACAGGTTTGTGTAATTTCTATTTGAAATTTATACCAAATTATTCCTATTTTTAATTATCAGTAAAAATATTTTTTGTCATGAACAGAAATTATTAAAAACCTTGAATCAGTCGTACAATGTACCTTATAATATTATATGTAGATCTATCTTAAATGTAAAGATTTATGTTAAGAGTTCTAAGCAAAGTTCGAAACTTAATTTCAGGCAAGAAATGACCACTACACAGCTATTTTAGCAGTTTGTGACTCTGCAAAAAGGCTAAAGGATAAACGTGAGAAGAAAGTAACCTTTAGAGTGTATAGACCCAACACTGGTTTGCAAGCAAAACAAGAAACGTTGTCAGAATTGAAATCAAAATACAAGCGGGTGGGTTGAAAATATCCTGTAGTTTCTTTCAAATATGAAAATAAATTAAGAATTTTTATATTAGAAATTGTATATACTTACAATATTTCCCAACAATTTAATTATTCATTTTTTATGTGAAATAACTTAGTTTTGTTTTTCCATATTATTTGACTTGTTCATTCTAACTGTTTCAAATTGTTGGTTGTCTTGATATTCACTTTTTTCTAACCTGTTGGTTCCTACAATTTTGATTATATGAACTATAATTTTTTTTTGGCCTGTTGAGTTACTTTATTTGATCTAATCCTCATTAGGTGTTACCGGATGATGCAAAACCCCACTGGGAAGACAACTACAAAGGTTCAGAAAATCTTTGTAGTCATCAATTCTGGTAAATGTACCTTCTTTTTTTTTAGCAATTGTACAGGGACAGATTCAGAAGATATTTTTGCATAACTTCCTAAGTTAACTAATTTTCACAAATATTGAGTATATTAGTTTCTAAAAGGCACATGTAGAAAAAAAAACCTGTTGTTTGTGTGACATTTTTTTACAAATGTAGGTATATAGGTTTATGTTTATATTATGTTAATTGATAGTTGTCTAGAGCTTGAACGACTTGTAACTGATCATTTCATGCTGTCACTAATATATAATTAACAGGTAGAGTATAGGTATTGAGTTGCTGGGTGATGCACTTGAGTATGTAAATTAAATTATGATAATATAATTTACATCACAAAGTAGGTTGTTATTTCAAAGCTAACTTTTTTTATTATTATTATTATTATTAACTAGGTATGGAAGCTGCAGACGGAAAACTATGGGCTTGACTTGTGATATAGGACTGAGAAGACGAACTTACTATGTTCTGAGTGGGTCAGTTCTGGCCGTCTGGCCCAAGGTGGAAAGTGTACTTCTTTCTGTACAAGGTTCACACAATTCCAAACTTCAAGTTGTTCGACTACGCACACAGGACGGGCAACGTATAGTAGGTGAGTTTACATATACTTGCAAACAAGTTATGGGAAGTGTGATGTCTAATAGAGCTAGTTCATGATCAACTTGAACTCTGTATTATACTTGAGTAATTGATACAAAAAATTGTCAGTTTATGTAGTTTTAGTCATGAAGAATGTGTGAAACTGGTAGTTTTGGTGTGATTTTCAGGTTATTTTTGCCAAAATATTGTATTTGATAAAGCAAGATGTCACTTTGTACTGAGAAGTTTGTATCATTACCCATCACAAGGAGTTTTAACTATGCATACTAATAAAATTACATGTATAGAAAGTTTTCTATTCTTATAGCAGAGAAAAATCTTTAAATTTACTGGTAATTTAGTATAGCTGATTATTTATTATTTGAAAACAAACAGTTGCCAAAAAGGTATTTCAACTGCATTGCCATTAGTTTTGAAATGGTGCCTTTACTGGGGTATTGCAATACTTCAACATCTTTGGTATTTTACAAGAAGAATGCATCTTAAAGATAAAAATAATAATAGTCCAGTAAAACTTCTAAGTCTTATCTCTTACCTGAACCTGTCTTCAATATTACAGTGCTTACAATACATAGATGTGTATATGTATGTATGCAAAAAACGCATACATACGTACATATATAAAAGACTGATGCTAATATGAGAACACGAGCATGGTGTTAGTAATATATTTTTTGTGACCAAAAAAGTAACTTGTTTCGTTGTTTACAGGTAGCATCATTCCACCAGCCTGTGTAGCTCCCCTCATCAACATCCTTTCAGAAGATTCCATTAAGGCTTACTGTGACAAATATTGATCAAGGTGATTTTTTAACCCACAGATGCCACTATGACCACTGTAACTGTAAATGTGTGTGCCGTTTCTTGTATGAAGTGGGCCTTTTTTTGTGATAAATCTTTAGACTGTTTCTTGGTCAGAACCTATTAGAGCCTGGTGAAATAAGTATTGGTAAAACCAGCAAGTGACTGTGAAAAGAATGAATTGAAACAAAAAACTGTAGGAACTTCTTAGCTTTTAAGTTAACTCTTCCATACATGTGCTCCAGTGTTGAACTTTTCCATTAGATTCTTCTTTGATACGTGTATGTGTATATTAACGAGGAAACTGCAGAGCTAAAAATTTTTTTTTTTTATTTATATCTTGTAGCATAGACTTGTCTTCTAGTATTTGATTTGTCTTTGATGTAGATCTCCTCTCATTCGTGATAAACAGAGCCTATTGCTCTTTCTTTGTTTACATAATGCAATGAGGTTAATGATTCTTAGTTCAGCATCACCTTATCCAGCAAGCTTGTCTGTATAGAAAAGTCAATAAAACATCTATCTGGTTAGAAAATATTGTCTTTGTGGTTCTTGATTGGTCAGTGACAATAAATCATATCAAAAACTTCCCACTTATGGTGATATAATTTAAATTTATAACAAGAATTTATATATTGCAAAATTAAGAGAAGGTGGGAATAATACATTTTTCACAGTAGTATGTTCTATGCCTGTTTTTAAACTGGTTCATAATCTTATATTAGTTTTCAGTTTAAACTGTCTTCATGGATTTTTTATTCATGGTTTATGTAGCTCTATGGCCAGTTTCTTTTGTTTTACATATATTGGGCAGCAGATTGGGACTGTTCTTTTATTGACTGTGACATGTATTGGTCTAATTTGGGTGTTGATCTTATACTGTAAGAGGTTAAGAACTTGCATGCTCTTTAGTTGTAATTAAATTTCCATCCATTATTTCAGGTATCTATATTTTATAAAATAATACAATTTGTGTTTAATTACAGTTCATAACATTCATCAGATATGACAGCTGTTTCTTGAAGTTAACAAAAGGCACTTGACAAAAAGCATGGCATACGAAATAGGTTATGATAAAATACCAAATGTTCAACATTAAGTGTACTTTGAGATCCTTCTTAACTATTTCATGACTACGATGAGGTTTTTATGAAAAAATGGAGGGGAAGGAGATGCACATGGTATATAGAAAAGAATGTCTTGTAAATATCCATTAACCCTTTTTATATGGGTCACAGGTGAAAGGCCATTTCATTTTGTTTGTTGACTCACATTCAAAATTGTATTGACTACTATTTCATGAACTTATGTCAATAAGTTTGGTATCAAACTGTAGATTATAATTCAAATTTTAGAACCATACATTACTCAGTTTGTTAATTTAAAAGTAACTATTAAAAAAACACAGATAAACATTGATTTTGTGTGTCACGTGATATGTTGAATGCAGCACTGGTTCAAATTAGATGTTTGTGAAGTCAAAGTCTAGTTTCATACGAATTAGATACTTAAATTACAAATATTTATAAGCTAGAATATAAAATAAGAAGTTCTTATCTTTTCTATTTGCTAAGATATTGCTTCACGTAATAAAGCAAACATAGTGGCACCCCCCTCACCTCCTTCCAATTTTAGAAATGCTCCCTTATAAACACTTCTATATATGACATGAATAACCAATCAGAAGCTCAATGTCTCC